CACGCTACGAGGGTTATTTAAATTAGATTGCACGTTCCCCTAATGTGTAAACACACCAGTTGCCACTAATATTAATCAATCAAACAATTACGGATTTAATTGACTAAATTGGCACGAGACTAATAAATCACATTGAACATCGGGCCCTTGACATCCAATTAATAAAATAATCCCATGAAAATACAAGCAGGCAACGTGCAATTATTAATAAATTAAGGAACGCGTGAAAACTAATTAGATCTCACAGGTTTTCGGGACTGCGCCGTCGAGTTGATCCTTGACTAGATGGAAGATTTAGCCACGCCGCATAATTAAATCACCACACGAATTAATGGATTGCAAAGGCATAGCGTTTTCTATTAAGAAGCAAGGAATAAAAGGTGTTTTTCCCGTTGGGGAATTTTGTCGAACACCTGGCGTGCCAGAGGCCAGTCAAAAGAAGGAAAAAGTAAAGCTACACTAAAAGACTAAAACCAGAGATATTCCTCTGCTACTCTCCGTTCCCTATTTAAGCCACAAAAGAAAGATAACTCAAGGCTCTCTACGTGGTCCCCACACATGTGGGCAAAGCCTTCAAAGTACTTCTTGCCCCAAGTCTCCTTCCGTAGCTTTCTTTTTAGAGTCCAAATGACTAGATGCCTTCCACTAGCTTGTGGTCCCCACAAATTCAAGGACCCAAGCATTGAAGCCCTTAGAAGTCTCCATATTTTCCATAAAGTCCCTCCTTTTGGTAGTTTTCTGCTTTATTCCTGAAATTACGTCCACATACCAAATATGAGTAAATATCAGCAATTAACACAATATTTGTCAGGGATAAAAGGGAAAATTAATAATAAAATTACTAACAAATTGTACCCTATCAACAAATTATAGTAATTTATATTTATTAATTGTCAATGAATGGTTTTATTTGAGCTATAATTAGAATGGAAGTTGCCTAATTTAAGTATATTTTGGTTTTTGCGGGAAAAGCACGCAATTGAGGAGGGGATGAATAAAAAACGCAACAAAAGAAGAAGAAACGTTGAAAGGGACTTTGTGAGGACTTCTTCCAGTTCCAATGATTTCTAAAGAAATTTCTAAAATTATGATGAATTTTAAAAAAATTCTACAAAGGGGCCATTTTGAGTATGGGATTCCGTCCAAGGGGTCTTCGCATTCAGCAAATGCGAGCTTCCTCAGCTCGCATTTGCTGAATGCGAAGTCTCTTGAATTTGCAACCAACGAAATCCAAAAAAAAAAACAGACCTCGCATTTGTAAACAGTACGTAGGCCTGACCTCTTATCCTGTTTCTGAGCAACAAAGCATAGCCACGAATTTGAAAGCCATTTGCCAAGTGAAAAGAAAATGTGCAGTGCAAATGGGACACAAAATTGATTGGGGAGTCCTGTTGAGGTAGTACAAGTGGCAAATTGGGAGGGGAGAGAGAGGCGCAGCTGGCTAGCTTCACAGAAATAGGTTCCGAATAGGGGTCCAAGCTCTACAATGGCGCAGAGCTTCCAACGAGAAAGATGTGAGGGATTTCGTCTGCCGATCCTGGAAGCTTGGACTGGTGTCTAGCTCAGCAAAAGAGAAGAGAAAGTGAGCTGGATGGAGAGAGTGAGCTCCAATTTCTGCAGGTTAGGAGACAGATTAGAATGCCGTAATTATGAGCTCTGCCTTTTTTTCAGATTGAGTACCTCGCATTCGAGAAATGCGAGGTACCTCAGCTCGCATTTGGCATATACGACCTTTGTTGTTTTTTACTTTTTCTCAAAACCTTTCTCTTTTTTCTTGAAACACTGACCTCGCATTTGTGAAATGTGAAGTCTTTGAACTAGCGTTTCACAAATGTGAAGACCATAATCCTAGAATTAGCTTCAAAAATTACCCCCCTTGTAAAACAACTTTTTTTTCTATCACAATTTAAGAATTTACTCTGATTTTTGAGCATAACAAGTTTGCGGCCAGAGTTAGAGCCGGTCTTCGGGCCGAACTTTATTGGAAAACCCATTCAAACTCGATTTTTGGTAAGTTTTCAAGACCTATTCCTACCACATTTCGGATGCAACTTTGAGAGACTATAAATAGGACATTCTAGGATATTTTTAGGTTAGAAAGCATTTAGCTTACATTAGTTCATCCTTTTTATATCTTCTTTTCTTGAGAGATCACAAAGGAAGTGTTGAAGAATCAAAGAGAAAGTTCAAGATGGAGATTGGAGTAGGGAAAAATTGAGAAGTTTTCTTTATTTTTAACTTCTTATTTTGTCTTTCATTTGAATTCTTGGATTTATCTATGAATATGTTGAACTAATTTATAGCTAGACTTAAGATTTTGTGAAGGAGATTTGATTATTTGTTCTAGATAAATTATTCAATTTTTCTTTGATTTATCTATCTTGCCTTTATTACATATTTATGTTTGGCCACTATAGATATGCTTTTAGGGTTTGTATTGAATTGAGAAGCGATATACAACCATATATTAGATAAATAAACTTACTTAACCTAATTATGAATGTGGGTTAGGATTTGTATGGCATAATCATATCACCTAAAATCTTAAAGGGTTTAATTAAATACCTATGATCTTGAGAGCAATGTGAGATTTCATTAGACACAATTTAGATGTATCGAGAGATAATTAAAATACTTTTACGTGATACGTCTTTGACATGTTAAGAAAATAATTGGATAATGATTCCAATTATGAATCAAAATTTGAAACTCTAGTCTTTTGCTAATTGTTTTCTCACCTATATCTTATTTGATTTGATTACTTATTTAATTTCTTAATTAGTGACTAAAAACCCTCTAAATTTAAATTTTATTATTTTTATTAGAATAATTAAAGTAGAAAAAATTAACTCATTCCTATATGTTTGACCCTGAAGTACTCCAAGTGAATTATTATTTCGATCAACCCTATACAGTTATAGAAATTCATCGATCACACAGCAACTAAAAAAAAATTAACGCACAATAATGTCATGAACACAGTTCCCATCTTAGTTGTTCAACATTCACGGTGGATTTCAATTAGTGGTAAATAGATAAAGGCATCGAAAAAAGTAATCTAATTACTAGATAATTGAATTTATACTACAGCATATTTCTTTTTTCTACTGCAAAAACTTAACTAATTTAAGACAATGTAGTCCAAGCTAATTGAAGATTAATTTCCCTAAAAAATGTTCATGATAAAAACTCAACAAAGAGATAATACAACAGCTTACTTTTGGAGGTGATCTTATACGGTCTTTATTAACAAACTAATTAGCCACTTAAGCCTTTTTTTTTCCTTTTGGGACTACACATGACAAAATGAGGAGTGAATCAGTCGCTTAATATCTAAAATTTTCCCTCCATAATTAGTTCAACCTGATTTAAGACTAAATTTTTACTATAGGAATGTTCGTGATTCAGCAATGAAAGACCATATAAACTTATTTTGGGAGATTTGTCCTAGAAGACAAAAAATGAGCAACCAATCAGAAAGTCGTACTTACATATCAAAATCGATACAGTCTACTTAATTCACCAGCTATGTATATTTCATCCATTTTCACATAATAGAAAGAACAATAATGCATGGCATTATCCATCATAAATTGCTCATATAACATCAAGATATCATGGTGTGGACCTCAAATGACTCGTCATATCTACTGGCTACATTTTAAACATATCTTATGGCCAGAATGTTCATCTTATCAACTTAACGAGTTTATTCATGGTACCATACCATTAAATTAAAAAAATTTCCACGGTTTACCTTTTATAGACGTCAAGGAATATAGCTGATAACGCACTTTTGGCAGCAAGCTTCCTTCACCCAATTAAAGATTTTCGGAGCTTAAAGTTCAGCTCCTAAAGCTCTTCTCCAAGGCTCACCAACCAACAGAGAAATTACTTTTAGCAAAGTTGTTAAATTTTGGCACCAGGTTTTGATGGCATCTCGGCAAGATTGGAAGATTATATTGCGCTTCTAAGATAATGTTTAAAAAAGCTATTTTAGTGAGGGCATTATGGTCAATTTGCCCCTGATGATATTGACATTAGGTCCCATCAACATCAGAAGGGAGCTCATTGCATTATTGGATATAACAAGGGTGCTAGTGAAATTATGAAAACCCTCAAGGAAGGTATTTGAAATTAACCCTAAAATACTCATTCCACGCAAGGCGTGGCGTTCCCCTCCTAGTTCCTATAAATAGGGCTGCAACTCAATGCACTTATCACTCGATATCAATAATTTAGCACATTATTTACATTTTGAGTGAGATTGTGATCAAATGGCATCTTCAAAAAATTTGCTCTTTCTTATTCGTGTTCTTTTTGCACTTGTGCTCCTCATTTCCTCTGATGCAACAGCTGCAGGTGCCTAGTCCCTTTTTTTCTTTTCCTTTCTTCCTTTTTTTTTGGCTGCACCTAAATACTTAAATGAATGGAGATTTGGAGACTCATTATTGGAATGTGAATTTTTATGGAAGGCTATTTGTATATTATCAAGCAAGTCATATTAATGTGCTAATATCTTTTTCATTGTTTAGCAAAAGTAAATTTGGGTTGCTTCTATCAATGGTTAGTGGCACATCTGATTTTTCATGCATCCTTATCGTATTGCTGTAAGGATACACGGTCCATAGTGTCGCACCAAAGATTAAACTAACGTCGAAAACCAAATTAAATGCTTCTAATTATAATTTAAAGCAAAACAATTTCCCTTATAAATGGACGAAATTCCCTGCCAACAAATCCAAATTCAAGAAAAAAATTTTCTTAAGGAGAAACTCTGCCAAAATTTTCTTAAAATAAATAAAATATTTAATTAAAAAAATAAAGCAAAATAATTCATATCCAAGTCGCACCATCTTATATGCCTAGACTGTTTTGTTTAATCCATAGTATTCTTTTCTTTGCATATATCTTGCAAATTTTCAGCCTAGCCGGTCACCTAACGTTCGCAGCTTAAGATAAAGCTCCAAATATTTATGTCTCCTTGTGTCTTGAAACAGATCAGAAGAGCGTGAAAACCACTGGTGTCCACGATGCCAGTTCAGGCGAGGTTCATCAGGATAGCAAAAGCGAAGATCGTTGCAGACATGGTTGCTGCCACTGGTACCATGGACACTGCCAAAGATGCTGTCGAACTGCCGAGGAGACCCCTGAAGTCACATCTGGAGATGAGGATACCGTAACCGCAGATCGTTGCAGACATGGTTGCTGCCGCTGGTACCATGGACATTGCCAAAGATGCTGTCCACCTGAAGATCGTTGCAGACATGGTTGCTGCCACTGGGACCATGGACATTGCCAAAGATGCTGTGCAGACATGGTTGCTGCCACTGGGACCATGGACATTGCCAAAGATGCTGTCCACCTGCTGAGGAGACCCCTGAACATCGTTGCAGACATGGTTGCTGCCGCTGGTACCATGGACATTGCCAAAGATGCTGTCCACCTGCTGAGGAGACTTGCAGACATGGTTGCTGCCACTGGTACCATGGACATTGCCAAAGATGCTGTCGAACTGCTGAGGAGACCCCTGAAGCTACATCCGGAGATGAGGTCAAAAATTAATGCTAAATAAATAAGGCCGTGACACAGGATCCGTGACACCTATATTATTACCTTAATATGTTATGTTGTGTTTGCTTTTAATGGTTGATTTCCTATATGTGTAAAAGACTTGTGCGGCTTCTCTTTGAATTGATGTAGAATCAACGGGGGAAGCATGTAATGAGTACTCAGTTCGAGTGCTCTTCTTATGTTGTTGTCATGTTGAATAAATAAATCTACTTGATCATCCACTACAATTGATGATCTTCTTATGTTTTTTTTCACTTTATCTTCCTTCACGATTTTTGGTGGAAATGCTTCATTTATACGAATTTTCCTAGTTAGTAAATGCTTCTATTACACTTGTACAATACACATTTAAAAGTATAACACAACAAAAGCTTGTGTAGTTCATATATTTAAAAAATATTCATACTTTTCAACTAAACTATAAAAATACGTAATAAATTCTTGATACATTATACTTTACGAACTATACTTTAAATTTTAAAAATATTTAATAGTATCACTTATCAATAACTCCACATGTTAATTTGTCTTCCAATTCAGTAAATTATAGTAGCTAATTCTCAAAGCTAACCGACACCAAAATTCCCTTGTTGGATTTATATTAATTACATTGCATTTATTTCCTAAGCATGAGTTTTGTAACCCCTCATATTAAATCTCAATGATTGATTTTAACGGTTACCAAGGCGTCTAGTAATTGGTTTGCTATTAATTTGAACTAGACATTTATTAGGTCAAGTAGAATTTATTCCGTCTTATCACTTAGTTCATAAACCTTACGAATCGTTAAAACCAGCTCTAACATTACCTAACAAGACTTCTACAATTTCGGGTTTTGCTTAGAAATCAGTCTGATAGGTTAACTTGCTTCGTCCAACTTTATGAGTTGCTTCTTCTTTTTTTCCCATATTTGACATTTCATCTTACTTTAATATGGGGACCAAGTTAGTATTGTTGACATTTCATATCTAAGACCTCTTAGTTAATTGATTTGTTATAAGAACTATAACGTATGCGTGTTTTGTAAGCTTTCATTTTTTTTTTTTCAATTCTTGTGAACCAGCAACGGATAGTTTCTTCTAGTACCAAGCTTCCTTTGAAGTTCTTTATTTTTTTTTTGCGTGTCCAAATGTAAATTAAAAGAACCAACAACTTTGAACAAGTCTATATCTAGTAAAGATAGATATAAAGAGGGATACTATATCACTGCAACAAAAAAGGGATTTGGCGAGGAGCAAAAGTCCACGCCAAAAGTTTTGACTTCCTGGCCAATTAATTTCAGCAAGAAAAATGCTTCCTCGTCAAGTTTCTTGCTAGATGCTTGTCGCTAATAAGTTATTAGCGAGGATGCTGCTGCTTTTCTCGCTAATGAAACAGATCAATAGCAAGGGTTGACCTCCTCGCCAATCTGATTCAAATACTATGGCGAGAAAAACTTTCCTCACCACTAAAGTTAAAAACTCCCCACAAAAACCAGTAGTTCCTGATAAGTGACTAATTTACATAATAATTATATGATATTTTATATTATTTTTAGTTACTTTAGTTATATTATTGGAAGAAAATGAATCATTTTGGCTATAATTGGTAAAAAATGCTTTTAAGTGATTAAATGAGGTTTTTATCACTTTTTAGTGGGATTTCGTGCATTTTGACAGTTTTGACACATTTTTGTATTTTGGCTATAACTTGGGCTACAATGATCGGATTGAGATGATTTTTAAACCAATTTGAAGATAAGAGATAGATCTACAACTTTGGTGAAGACATTTGAATCCAGTTTGAAGGTTTTCAAAGTCAAAAAGCTGAATTACAATAGCAAATTTCTACTGGTCGAAGCTGAAACAGGGCAATGAGCAGTCAAGGGTATTTCGGTCATTTCTCAGCCTAAACAGATCCAAATGAGGTGATTCTTGATCCATTGGAAAGATAAGTCAAAGGGCTACAAGTTTCATGTTTTGGTCAAGAGCTAAATCAGCTTTTATCATCAAGAAAAGTTCAGTGGAAGTTGATGCAAAATCGGAGCAGAGCTGGAAATTGAACCAGAAGTGACCAAATGGTCACTGTAGCAATCCGGCCGGAATTTGGCCGGATTTGTGGCTAGATTCCTGGCCGGATTGTGGTCAGAAAAGGCTGTTATGTACGCGTAAAACTCAATTTCACCTCCACCAACTCACATGTGATGCTAGACTTGTGAGAAACATTCCCAACTGTAAAAGAGAGGTGTAAACCTCAAGTCTTGACCAATCTTTCATCTATATATAGCCAAATTCATTGCAAGATTGAAGGATATAGAGAGACATATGGGAGAACTTGGAGAGTGCAGAAATGTAGCTCTTTCATCTTCCTAGTGTTAGTTTAGCTTAGTGCAGAGTAGTATCGATCATCCATTCTTGTATCTTGGCTAGATTAGGATGAAGATGGAGGAGTTGAAACTCAAGTGACATGGGTTATTTCTTCTCCAACTCTTTATCTTTTGTATCAGATTCTTAAGTTTGGTTAATATACAAGTTCTGGATTTTGTGTTTATGACAGGTGCCGAACCTGTGCAATAATAAATACCTGCTCAAACTAAAAATAATTTCTGTAGATAGTGGTGAGCAGGGTCGAATCCACAGGGACTGGGAGTAATTGTTTCTTTCCAAATTCACAGTGACAAGGGGGTGTTTTTGTGCAGAAAGTGACAATCAAACAAATTCAAATAAAATCTAAGAAACTACTAAAAATTAAATAACAAATTACTAAAATCAAATGAATGATAATTAAGAATCTAGCCAAGGAATAACTTCAGCAATGGTTCACCTAATTGATCATCGATAAGCAAAGGCAATTCTAATTATTTACTAATAAATAGGTTATAACTACCAAACAAGCAATGGCAGTCAAACCCTCCTTACTGTGTCGGTGATCAAGGTACGCCCGTTAATCACTGCTCTAATTGAGAAATAATTCTAGGTACGCTCGTAGAATTTAATTCCCCAATTGCCTTACGTATTAAAGGAGCCCTATTCTAACCAAATAACGCACTACCAGGGTTATTTTAGATTAGCCCGCGTATTCCCCTGACACAAACCTAATCATGCCAGTTGTCACTATTTTAGAGCAATTAAACAATTACGGATTTCACCCTAATTGACAATAGATTATCAAATCAATTAATTATCCGGATCCAAGACAATCAATTAATCAAATAATCATAAGCACTGCAACCAAGGAATATGCGAATATCAATAAATAAAAGAAAAAGATTAAATTAAATCGATCTCACAATTTTAGGCGACCCAAAACATCCGTTGCTCCTTGACTAGAAAAAGGAATTTAGTTCATAGTTAATGAACAAAATCCACAGGAAATAAAAACAAGAGTCGCGGCCATGGTCTGCGTCTTGGAAAAGTCCAATTCGCTTCAGGAAAGGAAAACGAGGCTACAAAAGGTGATTGCTTGTTACTAATTCTTCCTGACATACGCAGGGGAAAGGAACTACTACCAACCAAAAGAAAAGTCAAAGCTCAAGACTATACTACAAGACGAAAAAACTAAAGAAGACCAGAGGATAGTGCTCTCCTCCTGCAATCTTAATTCCTATTCTATTTGCTACTCCTCCTGTGCGGCGTCCGCCGCACCAGAGAAAAAGAAGACTCTGAGGTTTGCTTTCCTTTCCCTTTTTCTAGTTGCTGTTTTCGGTCAAAATTACCAAAAAGGTCATGCATCTCCTTGTTCCAAGAATGCCCTTGATTGCCTGCTATTTGAACTCTTTCCCGATGACCGTCAAATTGGCCTTGATTGTGCCATTTTTATTCTACTCCCTGAAATAAATGAAAATTACGAAAAGTGAGTAGAATCTAATAATTAATTCACATTGGGTTAAGTAATAGGGGAAATTAATTATAAAATAAATGATAAAATTACAACCTATCAATTCCCCCCACACCTAAACCATGTTTGTCCTCAAGCATGAGAACAAGAAACAAACACCAATATTTGATAGTGGCTATTGCTCTATCCAACAAATTGCCAAGATACCAAGAAAAATAATATTCAAGCATCAATGGTCAAGTCCAAGAAACATCACTCCGGTTAGCTTCTAAATCATAAACTCTTCCAATTTCAGGTTAACTAATCTAAGAAAAAGGAATGTCGCATAACATTTATCAGCAAATGGTCCAACTATTAACCAAAATCTCAACATTAAATCCATAATTCGGCAAGCTGACTTTTATTACACACTAACACAACCTTGACTTTTTTTTCACGTTTTTCTACTTTTCTTCTTTTCTTTTTTTTTCCTTTTCTCAATAGTAACAAAAGACTTAGTCGCTAGCCATTAGAGCCTTTTGACGCGAACTCCAACATTGGCCAGATGAAGGAGCCCGGTTACTCAGCTTCTATCGCCACGTGACCACGTACTCATAGGAACTACTACCTTTTGACGCGAGAATCAACACTTGTAGGTGCAGATCCCCGGTTACTCAGTAGTAACTAATAGCGGAGTACAGTCAAGTTTATTCATAGCTAAAAATCACAAAAACTCAATATAACACAAGAACCAAAAGAAAACTTGCATCAGCTAACCTCATTTTCAAACATGGAGAACTAAAGTTAATAACCGGACCAATTCACATGAAAATGCCAATAATCATTCCCTATGCCTAGGAAAGTTAACCAAAAATTATAAGAGTAAAACAATCATTGATATTCACCCAAGAGATGTTTTTGGATTACCACATTAACTTGGTACCCCTTTATTATTAAAACTTGGCAAAAGTAGAAATAGAAGCAATAATCCAACATCAAACCCTGGCATGCACTTACGAGCCAATCACTAAAAAGAAGAAAAAATGAACGAGAGGTGGACAAATAACAAACTAAAAATAAAGAACTAGTATAGCCGTCCCCCCCACACCTAGATTCTACATTGTCCTCAATGGAGGAATTAAAGCAATTAAAG